CGTATTTTAGTTAAAAACGTCTTAATGCTGGATGTGTTTCAGCTTTTGTCTTCTCCAGATGTTAACTGATGGACTGGAGTGCTGTGGATTACTTGTGGATTATTGTGATGTTTTTATCAGCTGTTTGGACTCTCATTCTGACGGCACCCATTCACTGCAGAGCATCCATTGCTGAGACACTGATGCAATGCAAATTTCTCCAAATCTGATGAAGAAACAAACTCATTATAATCTCGAATAATCTGAGGGTGAGGGAATTTTATTTTTTGTGTTGAACTATTCTTAAAGAGTGTGGTTTTGTGTAACGCGAGGATTGATGGACTGTGTTCACGATCGTGTGAAGGAGGTTTGGAGGGCCGTTTGTTCTGTCTGAGGTTTTATCATCGTTTAGTTTTTGACGGCAGGATCCTGAATCACAATTACCCAGCATTACTATCTCTGTGTGTCCTCATGTTTTCTCATTGAGCTCTAGCAGATGCTGTACGCTGTAAATAACCCCGAATGTTCCCAGCGGATCCGGATCAGGGATTGGGGTGTAATGGGACAGATTCAATCCTAGAAGGATCAGAGAGTTTCAGCAAAAACACCTGAAGGACCCAATCAGAAAACAGTCACATCTGGGTGAATCTTAAATATCCCAACATTCCCATTACATTCATTCAATTATTTATTTATTTAAACAATATTTTATAGTATTTTTAATTTATTTTTATATGAGTTACTTTGGCATTTTTATGGCAATTACATGACAAAACATTGGGAATAAAATAAAAATGACTAAAATGATATGTTACAAAGTAAACTTATTTTATTTCAGATATTTAGCAAGGCAACATAAAAATATTTTCATTATTAGAGATAAAATTAAATTTAAAAAAATATATAAAAACACTTAAACTTTTTTTTCAAGTAGTTGCCAAAGCAACACAAAAACATTTGTCATTATTTGAAATAAATAAAAGTAAAATATAAAACACTTAAACTTATTTTAATTCAATTAGTTGCAACATAACATTTTCATTATTTAAAATATATTAAAAAATAAATACATAAATAAATATATTTTATTTCAGTTAGCTGCAAAGTCAACATAAAAAAATAAAATAAAATATAAAAACTTAAAACTTTTATTTCATTTTTATTTGTTTTCATTTGATTTTTTTTAAACATTTGTATTATTTGAAATCAAAATGAAATAAAATAAAATTTATTAATTAAATATAACTTAAAAACTTATTTCAGTTCGTTTCAAATGCATCATAATTTTTTTCATTGTTTAAAATAAAAATCATAATAATCTTACTTTATTTCAGCTAGTGGCCAAGCCTATAATGCTCATTTGTGTTTAGTTAAAGCTGAAGTACTATAATAACTAAAACTAAATAAATTAAAAACTAAAATGTAATAAAACTATATAGACATATTAAAAAAAATAATAATAATAATAAAATGAGAACAGCACAACAAAATTACTAAAACATAAAAATGAAGACATGAAAATAAAATCATAAAAACTATAATGGTGTATCAATGATACTAAAATACGATTTCAGTATTTCTGCGTGCCGTGCATTAGCTTTCATTGGCTTGTGCTGCGTGTGTTTCAGCGATGAGTTTCCTGATAAATCAGAATAAATGAGTGTGCAAATAAGATCTCATCCGGCTCAAATGAAGCTCTGGTTTTGATCCAGAGTGAGTCGTGACGTGAAGGAGATTCAGCGAGAGGCTCATCGGGTGTTAAAGACTCGTTTCTATCGCTGGAAACATCCCGACAGCAGCGGCTCTCCATTACAGTAACAGCTCTTCATTACAGCTGCTTTCTGTTTCTGCTAATGGCCTGGAATAACATGCATTATTAATACACAGCGGCCGCAGGAAACCCTGTGGTTATATATTCAGCTTGTGAATCAGATTCTTTACGTTTGGATCTTTGATGCAGAATTGTTCGTTTCTCATCTACATGTGAAAACAGATCTTAGATCGCATGCATGCGTTCAGTCAGAAGGTTATGACATCAAACGATACAATGCTACAAAAATTCAGATTTTTTTTTTTTGAAGTAACATAACAAATAACTCAATTAAAATAAATTAAAATTAGTATAAAACATAAAAACTTGTATAAAATAACAACTAAACAAAAATATATATATATAAAAAAAAAGTGAACTTAATATATTCCAGCTAGCTGCAAAGGCAACATAAAAAACATTTTCATTATTTGAACTGAAATAAAATTAGTTTATTTTAGCTAGTTGCCAAGGTAACATAAAAAAGAAAAAATTGTATCATTCAAAATAGAAATTAAAATAAAATAAAATATATAATAAAAATATATAAAAAATTTAACTTAATAAATGTTATTTTAATTACAATTTTAAAATTAAACTTAAATGTAATAAAAAAAACTATATGGACATTAAAAATAAATTAATTAATAAAACTAATACATCCTGTTCTTAATGAGTACTTAAGTCTTTCCTATTAAAAATCAAGATAGCAAGATACATTTACTTGAGACCCACACAGAAAAATATATTTTTTATATATTTTAAAAAATATATACTTAAATGTTTCAAAATGCAATTATGTAAATATGTTGTCATAAACATTTTCATTATTTGAAATAAAATACAATATAAACTAAAACAAAAAATATATATATAAAAGCTTAAACTTTTTTTCAGCTAGTTGCCAAGGCAACATACAAATATTTTTTATTATTTTAAATTAAATTAAAAAACTAAAATAAAATAAAACAAAAAGCTTAAACTTATTTTATTTCAGCTATTTCTATCAGCTATTTTTTATTTCAGTTATTTCAACATAAAAATATTTTTTTTTATTAAATAAATAAAACTAAAATAAAATAAAACATAAAAAGCTTAAACTTGTTAGCTAGTTGCCAAGGCAACATAAAAATATTTGTATTATTTTAAAGTAAATAAAAAATTTTTTTTTAAAGTAAATTAAAATAAAACATAAAAAGCTTAAACTTATTTAATTTAGCTAGTCGCCAAGGTAAAATAAAAACATTTTCATTATTTGAAATAAAAATTAACTAAAATATATAAAGAAAAAATTTTAAAAAAAATAAATAAATAAATAAAATAAAAACATTTTCATTATTTGAAATAAAAATTAACTAAAATATATAAAGAAAAAATTTAAAAAAAAATAAATAAATAAATAAAATTAAAAAATATATTTTGCCCTCCATATAAGCATCACTTGTTTAGTCAGAAGGTCTTTGCATAGTTACTGGAGGTATCCATGTTGTAAATAATAAAACAATGCATTTGTGAGTTGTGGTCTGTTTAATGTAAGTACTGTTGGGGAATTGTTTGAAGCATTTAATGACCTTACTGCTGTTATTTCTGATGCTGTTTGTTGGACTTGTTTTCCATCCTTGGCTCATTTGGTTTTCCATCCCGAATCCAGCGCAGCCGTGTTTCGCTCACAAACACACGCTCACGCATTGACCGTCCTGCGGTGCCCCGTCTGCTGCCTTTCTAGAGCCCCGTATCAGTCCCTCCTCTGTTTTTCTCTTTCTTAGTTCCTCCGAACCTGACCGTGCCGCGGGGCAAGTCTCCGATGGCGGTGCGGGAGGGCGAGACGGTGGAGCTGGAGTGCCTTGTTTCAGGGAAACCCAAGCCCATCATCCTGTGGTCGCGGGCGGATAAGGAGGCGCCGATGCCGGATGGCAGCATGCAGACGGAGAGCTACGACGGCGTTCTGCGCATCGTCAACGTGTCGCGCGAGATGAGCGGATCCTACCGCTGCCAGACCAGCCAGTACAACGGCTTCAACGTCAAGCCCAGAGAGGCCGTGATCGAGCTCATCGTGCGCTGTAAGTGCCTCCCAACACCAGTAACACAACCAGTGCTCACCAAATCAAACCATTCACAGCAAGTCATTTTACAATGAAAATTCTAAACAACCCTTGAAACAAGATACATTTACAAGAAACCTTAGAAAGAATATATATATACAGTTGAAGTCAAAAGTTTACATACACCTTGCAGAATCTGTAAAATGTTAGTTACTTTTCCAAAATAAGAGGGATCATACAAAATTTTTTTTTTTTTTTTTTTTAGTTTTCACCCCCCGGCTCTTAATGCATGTTTTTTTCTTCTGGAGCATCAGAGAGCGTTTAAACCTTCTGTAATAGTTGCATATGAGTCCCTCAGTTGTCCTCAGTGTGACAAGATGCATCTCAAAATCATGCAGTCATTGTTGGAAAGGGTTCAAATACACAAAAATGCTGGAAAACCAAAGAATTTGTGGGAGCTGAGGGGTTTTTCTGAAGAACAGCAGGAAGTTTAACTGTTCAGGACAAACAAGAGACTCGTGAACAACTATCACAAAACAAAAAAACACAGCTGTGGATCATTCAGAAAACAACACAGTATTAAAGGGGTCATATGATGCGATTTCAAGTTTTCCTTTCTCTTTGGAGTGTTACAAGCTGATTGTGCATAGATAAGATCCCTGAAGTTGCAAAGACTAAAGTCTCAAAACCAAAGAGATATTCTTTATCAAAGTTAAGACTCTGCCACGCCCCCCTAAAACGGCTCATTCTAACACGCCCCCACATATCTACCACACTATATGGAAATATTTGCATAATGCCATCCTCTTCCTCCTCCTCCTCCTCCTCTACTTCCTACTGCTCTTCCTCATCCTCCTCCTCCTCCTCCTCTCTGGTGTCCTCGACCTTTTCAATCACATCTCTCTGGATCCATTGTTCCAAAACTGAATGAACTGACTTGAGCTCTTTTATCTATCTATTGAAGGTTATGATTGGTGTGTGATACATTTTGACTCTTAGTGTTTCCACCTGGGTAACTGTGTGCTAATTGAGCTCAAGCTATGCTGACTTGAGTGAACAATATTGAATGCTAGTGCTTTCTAAATGACAACATGGTCTAGGCAATGAGAAATGAAGGGATTTGTGTGTAGAGTTTTGCAGTGACAGTTCAACAAATCTGATTCATGTGTCAAAAAGGGGAATAGTGTTTATAGTTTAGGGAAATGGGTGTGCTTTTTGATAAATGGCGTTATGGTTTTGAAATTTTAGTTCAAAAGCCTGGTGATAGTGTTTAAGCAATCGAGAAAAACTGTAAAACATTACATTTCTAAGTTGCCTAATTTAGGGTCTAAAATCATTGTGTAATATAATCAATAAATAGATACGACACATGCATTTACACATTCAAAACATGAACATATGGCCCTGCACCATTTTTAAGGCACCATGTCAAGCTTGAAGTAGTTCAACTATATATATATATATATATACAGTAGTCAACATTTGGATCAAAACCTTTCATCATAGATAGTAGTCCGCTGATATATGCACACTTAACCTCACTCAGATTTGCAGTGAGCGTTTAGGCGCTCGGCTTCGGTCTGAAAGTCTTCAGGGAGCTGGAGGTGTGCTGGAGGTTGTTGTGTTTGTGGCGTGAATCACGCTGAGAGATAAAGAGTTTCTTGCGCCTCTGAGGATGATGTGTGAATGCGATGAGAATGGCTTTCCTGAGTGTGAATGCATCACATGTGTTTGTCCTTCATGCACTCAGAAGTACACTACTGATGATGTGTCAGTGATAGGGATGTAATGATATTTTCAATATCGTAATATCACGATAGCAAAACTGTCTCGATATTATCGTGGCCACATGACGATATGAAACGATAGGTCTTCCGGGCAAAAAGTGTAGTTTTTAAAACTTCTTATTCTAACATAAAAGGTCTTTAAAGTTGTTTTGGGCCATTATGCTTGGCACAGTATCTGTTAAAGGAACTAAAACCAAAAGCACAATTTGGCTTAATCCCTTTATCAAGTCTGTCTTCGCTGTGGGTTTCAAAGCGAAGCGCGCACTTCGTTCAGACGATCAACTCGTGATCCGGTGTTTTCCGCGCCTCAGAACAGCTCCGTTCTCACTGAATGAATGCAGTCAACTTGTTTATTGCACGTGCTGTGAGTTTAGCGTTTGTTTGGGAATGCAACAGCCACCAGTTATGCTTTATTTTCACAGCAGGTGATTACAGCATTTCACTAGATTTGTAGTGAGACATTTTTGTAAGCATGCTTTCACTGAAGCTGGAGTTTCCTTCAAAATAAAAGCTCTACTGCCGTGTCCGTCAAAATAAAAGCTTATAAAGTGCAGTATGAATTGCTGACAGCTAGTGGTTTAAATGCAGTCCAAATTCAAAATATATCTTTCAAGTGTAGAAATTAGGAAAGAAGTATTGTAATTTCCCTTCTGTAGTGTAAAGCACAAATAATATACCTATAAAATATTCATTTTCATTAATTTTACAGTGCAATTGTTTTACAATATATGGCTATTACTGTCATTGTTGTTATTATTTTTATTATATAATATATTTTTTGCTTCCTAAAACACCAGTGTGAATGTAATTTAGACTGAGACAGTATATCACAAATAAGAGGATGGAGTCTCCTTTAAAGTTCAGCTACAAGTCAATTCACTGACTTTTTTCTGACTTAAGTTTTCGTAGTTAAGATCATGGGTTGAAGCTCCTAATTTTGAACTCTCAAAGTGCATTAGATAGAATAATTTAACTTTAAAATGTACTAAATTTTAATTTTTTCCAATTCTTCATTTGTCTTTTTTTTAAATATCGCAATAAATATCGTATCGTGAGATTTTGATATCGTTACATCCCTAGTAAGTGAAGTACACTAGAGGTCAAAAGATATTGGATTTCACCGATATTGATAGCTAGGTGGGAGCACACTGGCCAATACCGATTAATCAACCGATAGTTTTTAAAATGGATACTGAACAAAAAGTAAAATAGTGATTTACTACTTTTTCTTTTAAAAAATAACAGTACTGAACCATAATTTGTAAATAAAATTTAAAAAATTATATTGATCATTAAAGTTAGCTCATAATTTACTAACTAATGTCAACAGAAGAAACTGTAAAATTAAAAAATGTATTAGTAATAGTAAATGTTGAATTAACACACTCTAACAAGGAACAATACTTCTACAGCTTTCATTAATCTTAATGTTACAAATAGACTCTTATTGTAAAGTGTTACCATTTCATTTCAACAGTCATCAAAAGATATTGGATTTCACCGATATTGATAGCTAGGTGGGAGCACACTGGCCAATACCGATTAATCAACCGATAGTTTTTAAAATGGATACTGAACAAAAAGTAAAATAGTGATTTACTACTTTTTCTTTTAAAAAATAACAGTACTGAACCATAATTTGTAAATAAAATTTAAAAAATTATATTGATCATTAAAGTTAGCTCATAATTTACTAACTAATGTCAACAGAAGAAACTGTAAAATTAAAAAATGTATTAGTAATAGTAAATGTTGAATTAACACACTCTAACAAGGAACAATACTTCTACAGCTTTCATTAATCTTAATGTTACAAATAGACTCTTATTGTAAAGTGTTACCATTTCATTTCAACAGTCATGCTTAAAGATGGCCATCTTTAAATATCTACACAAAGGCCATAGCACTGGAATTACATGCATATGGATATTGTATATATATATATATATATATATACATTGTATACTCTAACACTTTATTTGCTTCTATTTTAGAACACTTAATGATTATCTAATCAAAATAACAAAATATGGCAGTCACACACCGGGCAAAATAGAAGCACTGCGTTTAGGAGAACTCGCAGGTATCAGGTATCACACACACCGAACAACTTGCGTTCAATTCAAGCGGCGGTCTAAAACAGTTTATTTAATCACCAAACGGGAAAAAGTTCACTTCAAGAATGAACAATTTATAATGACTAGTTGTCCTTCATTTTAAGCATTAGTCAAATAATCGCATGTTTATTAATAAACTATTTAAATCATAATAATGAGCCTTTAATTGTCTACATAGCCTAATAAGCGCTCAAGCACTCAAAACTTGCCACAGTGCACCGGCAGAAGTAATGATTATGAATGTGTCGGGAAAAACAGTAACAAGGCTGCATAAACATTTTAATAATTTATTGTTAAAGTAGTGTTTTTTTGTTTTTTGTGCAGACACTGACTCGTCATCTCCACAGTGGTGGATGCACCTGTATGCATGTTTCATACAAATTACATAATGTGAGAATACTTGTTTTCCATTTAAATTGGTTTATTTTGAAGTAGACATTTCACTCTCTATAGATATTTTTTATGTCTGTAAGGCAAGTATACATGGAGTTTCGAAGTTTTGCATGCAAGTTCACAAGACCGAGACCGAGACGGCAGAAAGCGCATCCTGTTTGCTTTCATTATTTTACAAAAGCGCAATGTTTTGTTGTTATTGGGAGTGCACACAAATAAACGTAGAGTCTTTACAGATTCGAAAGGTGTATTACTCTTATCTGTATGAGCAAAAATGAGGGAGTATTTTAAGAACAAGTGAGCGCATCTGTCCTGCAGTGATCGCTACTGTTCAGCTTCCACACTTCGCACAGACACTTCAATAGCACACATTTCTCAAGGTTAACATTAGATTGAGCAGCCATGTAAAGTTGCTGCTACTAACATACTTCAGATAATAAGCCATATTTGAGGTCGATGAATAGGTTGATGATAGGCGAGCGTTTGGATGTCCTGCCCAATGTACTATATTACTACATAGACCAGCCGTTAACAATCTGTCCATCACGGACTGCGTGACCACCACTTCTGTGGATTTTTTTTTCTGCGACTAATAAAATTTTGGTCGTCCAAGCCTCTTCTCGTCGACTAACGGTTAGTCGACTATTGGAGGGCAGCCCTAGAAGTCATTATGTACATTAACAACGATTTGGCACAAATATAATGTAATTTAATGGAAAGC